TGTCACTTACATGTGACTGACAACAATAAAACCACCACTTGCCTCCTCTTTTTTTGTTGCTCTTTTTTTTTTTCCCCAGTTGGAAGATGACATTATAGCCAAACCTGACTATATTCAAAGTATAAGAAACTTTGCTGCTAAACAGTCCCAAGATTGGATGATTCTTGAGTTCTCCCAGCTAGGATTTATTGGTAAGTATTACGGTCTCAGCAGGGTCAACTGGATTTGGAGATGTGTGGGTTGTGTGTTTTTGAGTAGGCCTCCCTCAGAATTACATTCAAAGCATTAAAGGACTCAGGAAAGCTCCCACCGAAAGTCTTTTACTTTTTATGTTCTTTAAAACTGTCTTTTTAATGCAGAGTCTCCTCAACATAGGATCTAGTAGTTGGATTCCCATAACAAGCAAATTGTTCCACCTCAAGGCACTATGTGCCCCTATAGCTTGTAGTCTTCTGTTCAGGACAGGAATTTGAACAATCTATTAAAACAATCTGCTTCCTTTCCTTTGTGAATCAGAACATGTATCCCATATTGTAGGGGAGGATTTTACTATTTTTAGTAGTAAGTTTCTTTTTAAATTTTTTTCTTTGGTTCTAATACAATTTAGTTGTAGATAATAATTAGAACCTTGTAAGGTAACACCTTATAAGCGTTAGGTCAAATAAAGAAATGTAACAAAATCTGCTTACACAAATAGCAAGAGAACTAAATGAACAGGGGTAGTATTTTAAAAACAACACTTTTTATATCAAGGTCTTAATTTAAAGATACTCAGTATGGTATTGCCAGTCAAATTGCATGTCTAGCAGCTTGAGGAGTTCTTTGGACTTTATTTCATTTGATACACTGGTACAGGTGACTGGCAGATTTGTGTTTGGAACTAGGTTATACTACATACTTCATTAGTCCACTGGTTGACTATGTGAGAATATCTCCAGGCACGGGATGGATATCTTTTCAAAATCCCAACAAGCTGGAGGATAAGCAACTCTCCAGAGCTGGAGTCTGTGAAATTTTCACTAACTATCAGGGTTACATTCATGTGTTTAAGGCTGGAGTAAACATAAAGCTGGTGATTTTTGCACAGCAATAAAAATGTCTGAATATGCAACTTCTTGTCTTACTTTCAGGAAAATTGTTTAAATCAGAAGACTTGCCACTCATAGTGCAGTTTTTTCTCATGTTCTATAAAGATAAGCCCATAGACTGGCTTATAGATCACCTGCTCTGGGTTAAAGTGTGCAATCCAGAAAAGGATGCAGTAAGTATGTCTATGAATTTGTGATCATAACTAATACTTAAACACATTAATGATGAAATAGCTTATTTATAAAAAGCGAAATAGAAATCCCTCAAACATGACTTTGGAATTTACAGGGAAAAATTTGCTGCAGATCTGCATAGAGTTGCATGATATTTGAGCCCACTAGGGCATATGGCAAGGCCTAACTCACAGCAATTCACATTTCCACATCAATGCTGTTTTGCCTTCTTCAGCTGCCTGCAGCTGGTTATGCAGACGACCCTGCACCACTAAAGAACATTTTGAATATGTAAACCTATGTGAACTGTCACTTCTCATAATCTTCTGCTGGCCCCCAAAATGAAAGTCAGTAAAGCAGCATACCTTTTACAGTCATAGTAGTTCTGAATTTTTTCTACCAGTTCCTTTCTTTCAGGAAGCAGAACTTGCTTTAGATCTTTTACGCCCTGGGAAAATTTGACTGTTTGGCTGAAAAAAAAATTGTAGGGAAATGTAGGTCAAATGAACTAAATGATACTTTTCACTGAAAATTAAACAGTTGTGTGGAATTGCAAATGGTGCCATTTCTAGTACTAAGGGTGAGCCCAATGAAATGTTAAGTATTTCTTTATGCCCTTTTGCATTCTTTCTCTCACCAGTCTTTGGTGCTAGTCACTACTTATACCTTTCTTCTATAAGAGACTGTACCACAGAGGACAGACCAGTTTCTGGTCCTTCTTGATTTTTAAGGCTGAAGAACTTTATTTGATTAGCGTAGCCAGTCCCCACTCCAGGTGTTTGCACATATTATTTTTGTGTTGATAAAGGAGGAAGAAGAGATAGATAGGAGCTGTGCAAAGCAGAAGACTGAGGGGAGTGGAACAAACAAGCTTCACATTTTACTGCATAGCAGAGGAGACTCTTGGGGATAGCATAAGGTCTCTGGTTTTACACTTAGTAATGCCACTGAAGAGTCTCCATTCCCACTTCATACAGATAGGAGTAAGCTTTGAAATCCTACTCCATGTGTTAGGGTGGCTCATATGAGTTAGAGTGAGCCTCAAGTACCTTTAATTTAGGTTCTTGTATGCCTGTGCTAACAGAAAAAGATATGATTAAGTTAACATCACCCATTCAAGATCCAACATGTGCCAACTTCTGTCTGCTAGATGAAACATTTTACTTTTATTTTTTAAATGACTCTACTAGCTTCAAAGACCTGATTCATACCTAAAATGAAGCTCTGTTCCTGAAAGTCAGGCAGCCAGCTCATGGGAGTCTCCTCTGGCCAAGCCAAATCAGAGTGGTATCAGCAAGTTTCTAGCGAGTTTCACTTCTGCAATTGCAATTTCAATTGCTGTGGGTAGCAAAAACCTACTGAGACAAGTCAAGTCTAATGCTACCCTTGGGTGGGAATGACCAGTGGCATGACCTAATGGGACTAATCATGACAATATGGAAAATGGTTGCTGGAAGAAGGACAGGGATCCCAGGGGCTGCTCAGAATTCTGTTAGACAGGCTGAATCAGTGGACATTCCTAGAGGCACCAAGAAGGAAAATTGACAGAAATCCACATGCTTTCCCCTTTTCAAGCAACTAAGAATGTCACTAAGTGATCACACGCTATGCCTCAGAGGTGAGTTAGCAGGGCACTTGTTTGTGGCTATTATGTGCCATCCTGTGGTGATGCGTGTCTGGCACATGTTCTCTTGCCTGGGCTGAGTGTTAGCATATCAAGATTCAGCTACATTTGCTCATGTAAAAATGAAATTCTCCACAGTAAGCTATTTTGTAACATTACATGTAATGTAGTGAAGTACGTAATGAAATTGCTGTATGTAACTCCGTTTGTCTCTCCTTTATTTGAATACAACTTAGCTCCCTTTTACTTTCTTTCAGACACACTGTGAAAAGGAAAAGGCAAAGTTACGTATCCGTGCTAAACCATCTCTCTTTCAGCATGTGGGAATTTATTCATCACTGGCTGGGAAGATACAGAATTTGAAGGTAAGGATAAGAAATTAATACCATATTTCTAAATGATATGCTTGTGTTCTGACTTGGTTCTCAAATCAGTTTCAAGTATTGCATCTTGGGCGCTAGATGCATTTCTCTATCCAAGAACTCTGGTTTACAAATCGGGGGGAGAATATCGATCTGGTGTCTAAACTGCAGGTGGGGCCTACTGCTTCTGCACAAATGTCTTTGAATCTCTAATGTGAATACTTGTACCCATCATAGTTGCATTTCATGGCACCCTCTGCACAGTACAAGGTTTCATACAAATGCAGCTGGCTGTGATGGTTTGTTTTGGATGAATAGTCCACAGTCCCAATGCGAGGGACTAGTAAGAAGGACAAGGGCCATTTCAATTGCTGTATTGGATCAGAGTAGAGGTTCATGTAGTCTTTATCAGAGACCAATATCGGGTGTTTTGGCAGAAGGCACAGTATACAACTATGAAATAGCCTACTATGGAGAATTTCATTATTAAATCTAGACAACTAAGAAATAATCAGAGCAACTCTGTCTACAAACTGCAACTCTGAGTCTCTACATTTCAGTGACTACACTGAAATGAATATTTCTATTAGAAATAGATAGTGTGGTTTTTGACACTGAGGCAACTATTTTCTGGAATAGCTTCCTAAAATTCAAAATATTGGAACACTTTTTTTCATTATGTGAGTGATATTCAATTTCTTTATATCCAACAGGATAAAGATTTTGGCAAAAATGTGCTACATAAAGCACATAATAATCCACCTGCAAAACTGAGTACAAGCCTAAAAACATACGGGCAGTATACCTTGGAGAAAGTTTATAAAGGACAAGACTGTTTTTGGGCTTCAGCTCCAGTGGCAGGGGACTACATCAGCTTCACCTTTTTAAATCCATTGAAAGTTGAAAAGTAAGTATTACATGATATGGAATATCTAGTCATGAAATGATTGAGCCTATTCAAAACCACCAGTGCTCAACTGTTTGCTTAAACCGTAGCCTTGTTACTGACAAGAAATCTATGATTTGATATTTATGTGCTCCCCTTCTTGAATTCCAGAGTACATTTCTTGCTTGGTAATTACAGAACTTTTTTTTTTTGTATCTTTTATTTCTTCAGTTGAATGTTTTACATTCTCATGATAATTCTCAAAAGAATTTGGTTTTAATGAGCGTCATCAAAGGAGTCAGTGAAAGGTTTATTTCTGTATTTGTCAACAGAAAGGCTGTTTGCTTGATGTCAAGTCAAAGGCCAAGCCCTAGGCCAGATACCAGTGTAGGTGAAAGCGAAGAGAAAATATTCACTATTGTGGGGAAATAATGAAGAGTGAATTAACAAAGGTGGGATTCAGTTGAAGATTCAGAGATTTGAATGTAGGTGTTTACAGTAGAGATACCTATGTAAGGTAGATGTGTAAGCTCCTACTATACATAACAGATAAAGATCTTGATAAAGTCAGTGGAAGCTAGACAGCTATTCACCTTATTTGCTGTTTGGTCACCTGAGTCAGTTACTGAGTCTCCTTGTCTTTACTGAGTGTATCCCCATTGCCTGTAATGAAGCTTGAAAACTTGGGTCACAGCCAGATTTCTAACTTTACATGTTCGGACCTACAGCTGAGTCCCACCTTGAATGTTTTTTTCATACTAAGAGATGAAACTGCCTTCTCTGTTTTTCCATCATTCAACTTGGGTGTCTTTTAAAGGAAGATACCTATAGCTTAAGATAGAGAGGTGTTTTTCAGAAAGCCTTACTCTATGAACAGTAGAAACTGAGGTTGGCACCAAAAGGAGCCATCCTGCCTGGTTCAGCAAAGTTTCTTCTCTCTTTGTCAGACTGGAGAACAGACCTGCATTAAAAAATTAATCATCTAGCAAGAAATATGGTTCCAGGAAAGGGACACAAATTACCCCAATTACCATATTTTTGTAATGATATTCAGCGAGAAAACCTCCTTCGCTGTTGTTACACTTCCTCCCAAAACTGGTCACAAAACTAGGCCACTTCCATTTCTGCAAAGATTGTAGATTTCCCTTTTATTTTAAAAAGTTGTAAGAAAGCAAGTCTGTATCTCTGTCTAGTAAGATGCACTAAATGACAGTTTTTATAATAAACACTGATGTTCTGTGATCAACACTGGTAATTAACTGCTTTATGCTTTGGAAAACTTGGTAGCCTGTATTTTGCATTTTCCTGTTACTGGGAAGTTGTACTGGATGAAGCTAACTTACATACTGTATTGCCATCACACTGCTAACCAGTAAAAATGTATGGTTAATCCTATAATATTTGGTGTATTTCTTAGGTTTTGGTTGTTTGATAGTAGAGGAGGTAGGTTGATGTTTTAAATTTCCTTAGCTCTTTTTGGATCTAAAAACCTAAGAACTCTAATGCCAAAACATAAAACCAAATAGAGTTTTTGTTGTTTTTTTTTTTAAATCTCATAGGTGGTTTTGCTTGGATTCTTGCTTTGACAGCGCTGTTGCTCACTGGCTACAGAGATTATTTAGAAGCGCCTGATCAGTATTGATAAAAAGGGGGATTCTCTTGGCATGTAGCGTATGATCTTGTAAAACCAGGCATTTTTGCTGCCATTGCATTCCAGAAGCCCATCTCACCTCAGCCTTAGGATGGTAGGAACAGATGAGAGGGCAGATCTTCCTTAGCCATTGAAACCTGCAAAGTTAATTTATTTGGAACTTGAGCACTGAAAAGGGGAACAGTTGCATTTTGTGGTTCCAGAAAAAGATGTTTTTAATGCTTGTTCTGTTTAAAATGAAAAGTCTCTAGCATGTTTTGGTCACACATTGGGAAGTTTCAATGCCTATTTCTGTTCTCTGCAGCCCATGACATATAAAAGAAAAGGTATGTGAAACTTTGAATCCAAACTGGAAAGCATTCTTTACCTAGAACTTTTCTAAAGTATAAAATACTTAGAAATAACATACCTTTCCTATCAGGTACTTCTTCAGAAGTGGAAACATGGAGCACCCTGGTGATAAGCTGTTTAACACAACTGTGGAAGTGTTGCTAGCTGATGTAAGTCTCTCATTTCCAACTGTAATACAGAGTGCTTTTTCATTTTAGAATGATGTTCAGCATAAGATGTCATGCCCTAGAAAATACTTCTGGAGATCTTATTGTTTTGTTTTTCACAGGAAATGCTAAAAAAAGAACTGCTTGGCAATGGAAGTAAACATAACTACCCAGCAACCAAAGACGGATATTTACAGATAGGTAAATAGTTTGTCACTTCAAAACCTAGAATTTTGTTCTTACATATAAAGTGGTTTTGCATTTGAGAATTTCATTAACTCTGTATCAAATACAATATCCCAAGGTGAGCCAGGAAGGAAAGCAAACCCATTGCACTCCTGCATATTGTAGTATATGATGTTTAACCAGTGACTATACTATTTTAATAATGAAGAACCCTACTAGCAGTGGCGAAAGCTAAGACATTTAATTAGAAGAAAAACTAACTGTACTCTCTGCAAGGTCTTCATAGGATGTATTGGGTTGTATCTGTGGCAAGGTTTTTGGTAGTGGTGGGGCTACAGAAGTGGTTTCTGTGAGAAGCTGCTAGAAGCTTCCCTCATGTCCTCAGAGCCAATGCCAGCTGGCTCCAAGACCACTGGTCAATGCTGAGCCTATCAGCGACTATGGTAGTGACTCTGGGATAACAGAGCTAAGAAGAGGGGAAAGTTGCTGTGCAGCAGCAACTGTAGCTGGAGAGAGGAGTTGAGAATCTGTGAGAGAAACAGCCCTGCAGACACCAAGGTCAGTGAAAGAGGGAAGGAGGTGCTCTAGACTCCAGAGCAGAGATAACTCTGCAGCCCGTGGTGCAGACTGTGGTGAGGCAGGCTGTGCCCCTGCAGTACATGGAGGTCCATGGCGGAGCAGATACCCACCTGCAGCCTGGGGAGGACCCCATGCTGGAACCAGGGGGATGCCTGAAAAGAGGCTGTGCCCCCATGCGAAGCCCGTGCTGGAGCGGTTCATGAAGAACTGCAGCACAAGAGAAGGACCCACATAGGAAAAGTTCATGGAGAACTGTCACCCATGGGTGGGATCACATGGTGCAGCAGGGAAAGAGTGTGAGGAGCCCACCCTGTGGGGAAGGAGGTAGAGAACTAGGAATAAAGTTAAACCCGGGAAGAAGAAAGGGGTGAGGGGAAGGTGTTTTTAAGATTTGGTTTTATTTCTCATTACCCTACCCCAATTTGATTGGTAATAATTTAAATTAATGTTTTTTTTCCCCAAGTCAAGTCTGTTTTCCCCGTGATGGTACTTAGTGAATGATCTCTCCCTGTCCTTAACTCATGAGCCTTTTGTGATACTCTCCCTCCCCTGTCCTGCTGAGGGAGGGAAGTGATAGAGCAACTTCGGTGGGCACCTGGTGTCCAGCCAGGGTCAACCCACCACACAGGATAACTGACTCTGGTTTGGATTTTGCCGCATTAGCTGAAAACAAGGATTTCTTATGATTATGAGGGCATTAACCCATGATCCAAACTGAAATGAAGTATGATACAGTGCACCTTCCTCCTCAGAGTGGTGTGTGACTTCTCCTAAATGAACTGCAGACTCCACGTGCCTGCCAAGGCCTGGTTTCTATTTTACCTAAACTAAAATGCCACTATGTGAACAAAAACGGACTATTGGGAGATCTGCTTTGCTTGCCACTTTCTTTTGTCTGTCTACCGCATAATTACTCTTTTGTCTCAGTGAACCACTTTCACCTCAGCAGCACTTCTGCTTTGCTTTGATTTGCACCTCTCTCCCACCTCCCTTTGGCGTTTTGCTCTAATTAAGAGAGCCAAACCAAAATGCTGTCAACTCACAGTTGCATATGCAAGCGGATAGGAAATTAATATTGTACATGGGATGCGTGTTTTTCATTTGCCTGCAGCAACAAGCTTAGTTAAAAAGCATTGAACTAGTGAAAAAATGTATCAGAATTGGTCCATGATTCCTAATACACCTTTTTAAAACCAGTTAGATTTCTCAGAAAAGTTCTTTTAGGTTATTTAACATGACCACGTGTGCCATATGTATACGGTCAGCACTAATTTATTTAAATGTATTTTTTAAAATTTTTAGCTGTAGGTTGTTTATTTTCTTGCATTTTTTCTAGCTCCTAGTTGCTGTAACTGAAGGAATGAATCCTTCTTCTTGTATATAGCTTTAGCATTCACTTGTTACTGTTCCATCTTTTCCAAAATATTTTTTTTCCCTAATGTTGTATCCCTGGAGTTAATTTTTTAATTTGTAATGTAGAGCTTTTGCGTAAGTATATTTTGTGCTAATAGATGTTTGTATAGTCTTGGTTTATTTTTTATTTAGGGGCTTTTGAAAATGGAATTGCAGAAGGCAGTATCAATCAGTCGATGGGAAAAATACAGGCTATTCGTCTGTCAGTCAATTCTGATTCTCCTGTGTGGGCAATACTTAGTGAGGTAAGCATGTTAACAAAAGCATTTTAATTAAAGCTTTATTAGGTAAGTGTCAGTTCTTCCTACCGTACAGTACTGATAATCATTAATTTGTATTTAATTTCAAATGGGATTTTATGTGGAAAAACACAAGTAGAGAATTATATTTGTTATTCAGGGAAGAGGTTAAATTTACTTCATAGAAAGTGATGGAAATGCTCAACTGGGACGATTCTCTAGTTTTGAAGTGCTGTAAATACAGCCACTAGAATCTGGGTCATGATAAACCAACCAAAGGAGACAGGGAGGCTTGTCTAGATTTTTTCAGTCACTATTTTGGATATTAATTATAATATGCAAACATTTTCAGATTAATGTGATTTTTTGATTCTTCAAGTATTCTCCCAAGTGCCTGAATTTGTGTGAACCCTAAGTAGAAAATACTTAGCAGAAGTCACTGAAGAAATTACTACAGCCTTAAAGCCATATTTGGAAGGAAGGAAAAGCTACTGTCATAGGCAATGCTTCTGCAGGCTTTAGAAAATAAGACATTTTGGTTTTTTTCCAGGTATTCATCAAGACATCTGAAAACTGAAAAGAAGAATATTTGTTTTGTTGCTTGTTACAGATTGCTTGAAAACAGCAACAAAAAATTGGCTGGGTAAAAAAGCAAATACAAACCCATTTAATTCTTAATACTGTGTATTAGGAAAGAGTTAACTATTGAATCTTTATATAAGGAATACTGGAAGCTATGAAGAACCTGTTTACTTTAGTAATTTCTATAAAATGTTCTTGAGTAAGGTGTCATAGATAAAAATCTCAACTTGGCAACATTCAATGTAGATTATTATACACAATAAGGCAATACAAGCTGTCTCAGGGACTAAAGCATATAAGTATGGTAAGTTTCACTGGAACTAAAATATGGACATTTTTGAAAAATATTAAGGACACAGTTTTCAACACCCCTAAAAACTGGTCAATTTTGGGGAGAAAATAAAACTGAAGGAAAAGTTGTCGATATTTATTGCAAGCATTTTGAGCAGTCCACAGAGATAGGAACAACTTAACAATATGAAAATGGATCTCAGCCTTAATAGAAGAAGTGTGTTTCAGCCTTAATGTAGCCTAAGTTATATTTGTTTTTTTTTAATGGAAAGTGCCTACAATATACTATTTAAATAACTTGAAATTTAAATGGGCATTTTTTTGAGGATTGTAAAACTTGTCAGTGAATTGTGCATTGAGTTAACTACAGGAAAAAATAAGGATATTATGTGTAACTGTATTTTTTGCAGAAAGAAAATCTATTTAAGTAAAATTTGATATTTAGTATACACTGCAATTTGATAATTAGTATATACTGATACTTAAATCCTGGTCACAAAGCTAAACTCAGTATAGATTTGAAAATAAACGTTAAGCCACAGTTCTGTCATTTGAAATGTTTTTGGGAAATGATAATTCACCTTGGATATCTACCTGTGCAGAACTCCTGCATCACTTACTTGGCATGTGAAGCACAACTGCGCCCTCATTCTCCTGCTCATGCATTGCATCCTGACAGCAGTGTGAGAAACAAACTGCACCGTGCATTTTTGTGTGTGGATTTGTATTAAATACATTAAATTAATGAAGAATTGTATTCTTAATGCAAGAGTATTTTTATTTAGAATATGATTAAATTAATTTTATTACATTAAAACAGTTCAGAAGGGTGTTTTTTTTTAAAGACCTCCTCTAATATTTTGATAATTTACAGTATTGTTTATATACTGTGGTGCTATATATACGTGATTGTGGAGATATATATATGTACATAAGCGTGCGTGTATGTCTTAGAGCAAATACCACAGCCCTTACTAGGTTAAGAGTTTAATGCAGTGTCCTGGGTTCAGCAGTAGCAGTCATTTTTCTCCTTCTTAGTAGCTGGTGCAGTGCTGTGGTTTTGACTTTCAGCCTGGGAACATCACTGATAACACAGATGTTTTTAGTTGCTGCTTAGTAATGTTGTCTGACCAAGGACTTTCTGAGCCTCATGCTCTGCCAGGGAGGAGGGGAAGCCAGGAGGAAGCAGAGACAGGACACCTGACCCAAACTAGCCAAAGAGGTATTCCATACCACAGCACGTCATGCCCAGTATATAAACTGGGGGCAGTTACCTGGAAGGGCTAGATCACTGCTCGGGGCGGGCTGGGTATCGGTCAGTGGGTGGTGAGCTGTTGTATTCTCTTCCCTTGTTATGTCCCTTATTATTATTATTGGTGATAGCAGCAATGGTCTGTGTTATACCTGAGTTACTGGGCTTTTCTTATTTCAACCCGTGAGAGTTACATTCTTTCAATTCTCCTCCCCATACCTCCAGGAGTCGGGGGAGGAAGGCGGGGGGAGCAAATGAGTTGCATGGCTGACTGGGCTTAAACCACGATATGCAGGTTAAGAATTAATGCAGTAATTCAGAGTGTTTAGCAATACACAGAGGGACACCTTTATCCATCAGCACTTACATTAAAAAGAAGGGTTGACTGAAACTGAGACCAGTGGATCATTAAAAAGCAGCAGCTAAAACTGCAGCTAGGGAAACAAGGGAAATAAAGAACCTCTGCACCGAACTATGTGGCACAAGAAGGGCAGAGC